GCGGGCGCCGCGCCCCGCGGCTTCCGCCGCGCCCCGCCGAACTTTCAGATAGATTCTTTAAATGCTTGTGAACTTGGCTGGGCTTTCTACACTATTCAACACTTTCATTTCTCCTTAGTCAGTTTGTTTTGTATCTCTCTAATGGATTTTTCAAACTCTTGTGTGTTTTCTGAATCCCCTATGAGACCTCCGCTCCTCTTTCCCAAGCTTCCTATATAATAAGAAAAATCAAGACCAAAAGATGGGCATTTCCTTAAATTCCCTTTCCTCTACATTTAAATTAGCCTAACGCAGCAAGTGTCCTTCCCATCCTCCCTGCCTCCAAGGCTATGACTTTGCTGCAACAGCTCTAAATCTCCTCCTTTTCTGCTGGCTGTCCTTTCGATCTAAAAAATATACTCAAACATCCTGACTTTGACTTACTTTTACTCTGTATGTCCTTCCTTTGCTTTTCCACTTAATTTCCCCATAGCATCACCATCTGATTTTCAATCTACTCAAGTCTGGCTTCCCTCGTCACTTTGCTGAAAATGCTATTACCAAGGTAGTTGATAACCCCAAACAGTTCCCAGATTTGATAAATTGTTTTCAATGTTCCAGCCTACTTAAGCCATTTTAGTGCATTAACATTGGTAGCTTTCTCTACTTCAAGACATTTCTTCCTCCTATGTTGTCATACCACTCTCTTATTTTCCCCCTTTCTTGGTTTTTCTTTGATTTCTTTTCTCCTTGAGCTTTTCCTATTGTTGTTCCTCAGTCTCTCAGCATGAACACTATCTAGTCTCCTAATCCAAATATCTCAGTATAACCTTTGACTCTGTCATAGTAGCTCTCTCTCTCTTGGGTTTTTACAATAGCCTCTTAATATAATAGTCTTCTTGCCAAGAGTTATTTATTCCTCTGTACATCGTCCAAGAGCTTTTCCTTTAAAAAGTTTTTGGATGCACTGTATCCCTGGCTTATTAATTCACTTCCAAAATTCATGTAAGCTAACTTGGCATCCAGGGCTATTCACAATCATGCCTCCACCTGTCTTTCCAACCTCGGTTCCTGGGACTTCCCTTCATGCACCTTCTGCCCTAAAATGAACTTTTCAGCATTTCCAAACATGTCATACTTTTAATAACTCTGATTAAACTCAAAATTGAGTTCTTTTACTTTTAAAATATTTGTTTATCTGTAAACACCTGTTAATCCTTTGAGCCTCAAATTGAATGTCATCTCTTTTTAAAAACTTCCAAACTTCCCCCAAGCAAAGCTATCCCTAATACTGCTCATGAATTTTATCACTGTATCAAGGAATTTGACTGCTGTGTTTAACCTATTGAAGTTGATGTGTGTCTATTTTCTTCCCCGCCCCCTGCCCCCCATCAACTTGTGAATGCTTCAAATACTTTGCTATTAGAAGACTTTGCTACCTACTCCAGGGCTAGCACAATCTAGTGTCCAAGAAGTACTCCTGAAATGTGTACTAAACAAACAGGATAACCTTGTTTTCATTGAGAAGCTTGCAATCACAAAGCCACATTGAAAATTTTCTTTCTCTACAATTTTTAAGATTTGATAAAGACTAAGTATTGCTTGACAAATGACCTTCTATGACAAAGAGACTGGTCTGAAAGATTGAGAAGAAGAGAAAAATGTAATCTTAACTTTTATAAGGCTGTTCATACTGTCTGGCATAAATTTATGTTCATTAATAAATACTGAAAAATATGATCAATCTCTCACTGTAGGCCAAGAGCTGAGAACTAGAGAGAATATTTTTAATGGAACAGTGTCTATCTCAAAAATAATGTCTAGCAGACTGCAGGAATTTGTCCAAACAGTATTGTTCTTAAATCTTGTTAATGACCTGGTAGAATTAAAATGATTTCAGGACAGGAAAGTCTCATTATCTTTATACAATGTCATTTACAATGAAATATGTATATTATGCTTGTTGGTATAATTTAAGGCAGCTAGGTATCTATTTAGATGGATCATAGAAATTTAAATTCGATATTACCAAAATGAAATGCTTTGTTTTCTCCTAGAATCACAGTCCTTTCCCACTTGCCTCTGTTTTGGTAAAAAAAAGAAAAAAAAATAGTATGAACATTTGCTGAGTTTTGAAACCAGAAACCTTAACGTCAGTCCAGAACAATCTCTCAGTGTTGATACTACTGACGTTTTAGCTGTATGTTTGTGTGCAGTGGGGAAAAGGGATCTGCCCTGTCCATTGTAGGATGGTTAGCAGCATCCCTGGACTCCATCCAACAGCACCCAGTAACATACCCATCCCTAGCTGTGACTATCAAAAAGTCTCCAGGCATTGCCAAATGTGTGTGTGTTTGTGTGTGTGTGTTTGGGGTCCAAATCTCCCCTGGATGAGAGCCTTTGCTTTAGATTCCTGCCTTTTCTTCAATCATCACTTCTGCCCTCAACAATTTCCAACCAATTAGTTAAGTCCTCACAATTCTACTTCTGCCCCTATCTTACCATCTCCACTGCTACCTCTAAGAGTCTATATCACTCATCATACAACTGTGAACACTGTCACCAGTGAAAGGGTCTGTTGTTGAGAATTAAGTTGATCAAGGAAACATAAATGGGACTTCCATGGCAGCCCAGGATGTAGGATTGCCCTCACTATCACTCTGGCTCCAAACCTTTTTACTTGAAGAATGAACTAACACAATAACCCCAAGCTAGCCTAACAGCTTTCCATGTTGCCTCCTTACAATAGCCAGTATACAGTTCTTAAAAATTTAAATGAGATTATGTCATTTCCCTCCATATACCCTCCAGAGATTTACCGTCATTCTTTGAATAAAGTACCAACTTCCAGCTCTAGCTCAGCCCTCTTTCATCTCTGATCTCACCTTGCAGTTCTTTTCTGATCCTGGCTACACTCAATGCTTACAGACTTCGAAGCTCTTTTTAGCCCCTGCGTTTTATGCTTGTCAACCTCTACTTAATGCTCTTGTTTAGCTTTACACACAGCTGACTTTTCCCCCACTACTTGAGTTTCAGGTTAACTTTTAACCTACTTTTTTAGCAAAGTCTTTCCTGAGGTCCTCTCCAGCCACCACCTTGCCATTGGTTTCCTTACTTGCATTTATCTCATGACTAATTTATTTTTACTTTGTTACTGGAGTAAGGCATACCTATAGAAAAGCCTATAAAGTACCTGAATATTAAGTATGTAGCTCTACAAATTCAAAAATTAGTGAACATATCTATAACCACCAACCAAATCAAGAAAAAGATTTCTAGTATTACAAAACATTTTCTCACTCCCTTTTGCAACAATAGTGTTCGCAATAGTACTGATAGATAATTACTATTTCTGTCCCTATTAATTAGTCTTGCCTGTCACAATCTGTAAATCCTTTGTTTAGTCACTTGTGGATTTTATGATTTTCCCACTAGAATGGCTTGAAGGGAATCCTTTCATTTAACTCCTTCTTGCCCAGTCAAAAATTGTTCTTTGCACAATTTCCTCTCAAGATAAATTTTAGCAGATATTCCAATGGGTGAAGCTTTTCACAACAGAAAAGACATAATCAATTTTCTTATCTTTGTATTCCTGAACAAAATTCCTAAAACAACTGACATAAAAGCTATAAAACACAAAATACCAAAGAAAGCACCAAAAACCAATGAAAAATATTTTCTTCTGGCTTAGTCATGTTTTAGTGAGAGGCCTAGTTATGTTTCCAAAGAAAATAGTTAAAATTTTCAGATAAATTTCATTTTTGTAAGTTGAAATAAGGATCTAGAAGGCTAAGAAATAGAAAAAAAAAACAGTTGAAATACAAAGACTTTGATTAATATGTACTTGTACTTTTTCCAATGCAGATGCAATTGATTATGACAAATTTTATGCATCAGTACAGGAACTCTTTGGTCCAGAAGTGAAGAATCAAGATGTGAAAAGCTTTTACAGAAAACTCTGCAGCAACCCTGAGGCATCTATAGACTGGTGTGAGGTAGCCACTTTTCATGTTTGTAATAGGAAATCAAAGTATTGTTTTTACTTGTTCAGAATACATAAGTACATCAAAGCATTACTCCCACGGGGCTTATATCCACGCTGTGTATGTAGCATGTTTTAATGCCTGCACTCACTAAGAGATGGCCACTGCCCACAATCGAAATTGGGCAAATCAGGTAGCTGTTTGTACTGTGAATGAGTATCTCTTAAATACTTTAGCCCAAGCTACCCACTGGAGAACAATACATGCTATTAAAAATAATATAAAAAAATACATGCTATTTAAAATATTTAAAACATTTATTTTAAACCTATTGAAACAGTGTCAAATTTGGCAAAAGGTTTACACATTTTATTGCTTATTTTCACATTCAGGTATTATACATTGAATGATATAAAACTCCATTTCAGAAAATGCTCTACGGTATTATGAATCAATTTAAATTTTGCCTATTTATCCATTTGCATGTTCTGGAATAACTAGATACTTCCAGACAAAACTACTTCCCTTATCCTTTGAAACAAAAACCACATCTCAGACACAGTTTGCTTCTCCATCATTACTAATCCCATAATAGTAGTCTCAAGCACCTATACACAGGCACTTCACAATTTTGCTTTATCAAGGGCAGCATGAGAATCTTTTTCTACATAGTTTGGGAGCTTGTATAGAATGGAACATAAGCTAAGGGAGTCTTGTATAGTAGTAGAACATAATCATGGGAGAAACAGCTCATTACATTTGCTACTTTCTGATGGTTAGAACCAAGTCACAGATTCCATCATACTCAAAGATTATACAAAAGTGGGAGGGGGGCGGGGGGGGGACTTATTTTAAACGTCTACCCTAGGGACTTACCAGAAACACATTTAAGCAAGGATCATGTTTAATGGTGAAATAACTAGAAACATTCCCATTAAAGTCAAAACAAGTAATGGCTGCCTATTACCACCATTAGTCTTCAATATCTTATTCGAAGTTGTCAACAGCTATAATAACAGCAACAAAAGCAAGAAAAGGCAATGATAATGTTATCAGGTACTAAAAATACAAAACTATCATTGTTTATAGAGAATTCTACCAAAATGTCCATGAAGATCTCATGGTAAACTATTAAAACTAAGAGAGTTAAAAAAAAAGTGCAAGAAACAGTAACTTTACAAGCATGGCAATAATCACCCCACTCCCCCATGAGAATAGAAAAACAAGTTTTATTTGAAAACAGAAAAACAAAATTAATAGAAAAACAAAAAAGCTTAAAGACAAATAGCAGAAAATATCATGGGATGCATGCACAGACTATAAAACTTTACTGAAAGTAAACAAGTATCTCACCTTTCAAACTGTGTTAACACAGACAAACGTCAAGATGTAATCAATCCAATTGTTCCTCTACCTCATTCCTTCACTTCTATTTTTGTACATCCCTTTCCCTTTCCTGCATACATCACTATCCCTTTCTGGAACCTATATACCAGGTGATCACAAAGCTACCTGGAGTCCCCTTGAAAGTTATTCTGGGGTCCCTGATTTGAATAGTGTTTATTTTTGCTCAATTAAACTCCACTAAATTAAAAAAAAAAAAAAGACATTCAAAGAATGAATGAGGAATTTTGGAATGAAGGTATAACAAAACAAAACCTAATAAAAGTTCTGATAGGGAAGACCATCATCTTGAAGTTGGACCCTTAGAAACTCTAGACCTGCATGCCCCAAATAGTTCACAAGCCACATGGGACTCTGGAATGCTGGAAATGTAATTAGTCCATATGGAGATGTAGTGAGTCTGTAAATGTGAAATACATTCGACTTCAAAGACATAGCGTCAAAGAAATGTAAAGTATATCACTAACAACCTTTCAAACTAATTACATGTTAAAATCACATCTTAACTATACTGTGTTCAATTAAATTATTAAAATTAATTTCACTGTTTCTTTTTTCATTTTTAATGGGGCTACTAGAAAATTTAGTTATACCACAGAGTTCACATTATAGTTTTACTGGATATCATATCAAATGTCGAAATAGAGATACAGTTCTTCCTGATTAGTGAAGACAGATCTTTGATCTTGTTTAACCACATCCTATAGAAAGAGTCCAACTTCACACTTTTGGGATGCAGGGCTCTCTCATCCTACATAATTAATTAGACTTACCATGAAGTATTTCACATAAATCTTTAATATAAAAGGAATAGTTAAATCACCTATGCCATGACCTGATTTGTCTTTGGTTTCCAAGGACATCCAGGAGGAAGAAGATATTTGGCATTGTCCTCTGAGAGCATGGGTAGAAGAGAACAAAGATTAAGCTTTGTGTGTTTAAATATCAGAGCAATAAAAATGATAAAAATCAGCCACAGTGCCACAGTGATTGAAGGCCCGCATGAAGAAAGTGATGGCAAAGTCTTTATCATCAACTCATTTGACAGACAGCTCAAATGTGCAGACTCACCCTTCAGACTTGGGCAAGAGTAGAAATGGAGGCCCATACTCCATATATTCAAGCACTTCAAAACTATAAATCTAGAAAATCATTAAATAAACATGTTCTAGTTTCAATTTTGACAGACATTCCTCCATGATGTCCTGGAAGTCCAGGTTAGAATTTAAAATTTAGTCTCACACTCTCTACAGTGTCACACTGAAATACAGAGACAAGAAGAGAGCTGGCTCCGGCTAACCTCAGTTCTTTTGCCACTACTGGCTCTATCCTATATCAGTAGGGGGCCAAGCATGGAGAAATATGCTCACCCCAATGGATTCCTAAGCTTTTTCATACCCTGCCCTCCACCAGCCCTATCCCTTGGCAACACCTCAGACCTAGAGGTGCACACAGCAGTGTTGTGACATTCATCTCTATGAGGATGGACCTTAAAAGGGGGTTTCACAGGCCCAGTGGAAAGGCTCTGAGCCCTTAGGGCAGGAGATTCTGGGATCCCAGGAATCTAGAGCATGGTTTAAAAGCACTGGTGAAAATTCCTGGTGGATAGTGACCCGTCAGAGTCCACAGAAAGAACTGGAGTGGCACCTTCTAACACTGTGCAGTCCAGCACAGTCGCTTGTGCCATTTGCATTTAAGCTAAAAGTTCAGCTCCTCCACATTCCGGATGGCCAATATTCACATGTGGTGAGTGGCTACTGTATTGGACAGGACAGATTATAGAATTGTTCCACTGCAGAAATTCCAATTTGGACAGTTTTGTTCTAAAAGCAAAGGTCCCAGAACAAGGGTTAAAAGCAGTACTGCCAGCTCTCACATGCTAAAATGGGAATGATACAGAGAAGATGAGCATGGTCCCTCCACAAGAATGAGATATAAATTATGAAGTGTTCCACATTAAAAAAAAAAAAAAGCAGTACTACAAGTAGAAAGGTGACTGGTTTCTTTCTTTAACCTACTGATTAAATAAAGCAGAAAACAAATATACAAATATATATATATATACACACATATATGTATATACATATATATATACACATACACACATACATATATATACACACACACACACATATACACACGTGTGTGTGTATATGTGTGTGTGTGTGTGTGTGTGTGTGTGTGTGTGTGTGTGTATTTATTTATTTATTTATTTTTCCAGCACCCAAAGATTAAGAGGCTGAGAAGTCAGGGCCATCAGGTGGAGTGGTGATTAAGATGCTAGACTCTCACATGGCCTTCCGTGGTTTGAGTCCTGAAACTGGTGGCTTGTTTTTTCACTTTTCTCTCTCATTTTCTCCCTCTCTCTCTTCCCTTGTCTCTCTCTCTGGTAAGATCACATGTCCTACAGCAAATTAATAATAAAAAGAGTCTGAGAAATTGAAATAAAAGTGAAGCAGCTGGTGATTTTGCGGCCACACAGAAAAACAGATTTTTTTTCCTCCTAAATTATATAAGTGTACAACATAAATGTGTTTTTATTTACTATTTTTTCCAGGTCTAGGCTTTATCTCATTGCATAAATTCTTTGGCTAGTCTCCCACTTACCAGCAACTTTAATTCTATTAATATGTCCTAAACACAGTAGATGTGATTTGAGAATCATATTTTCCTCCTAGTCTCCATGTTTTCATGACTATTTCTCATATACTCAGTGGTTTACATGCCTGAATTTCTAATGCAATAGTTTTGAACCACTAAAATATGAAGAATGTGTGTATAACAAATGTTTCATGTCAATATAAAAAATTATGCACTTCAGGAAATTAGAGAAGTCTGTTTAGATTATATTACACACTTAGGTTCAGAGAATGGTGAGTGTTACCATAACTGCCATGAGACACAGTATTCTATGGTAAATTCATTTACAAGGACTTCTATAGTAATAAAATACAATTATAAAGTAAACCTATACATTATTTGGTTATATAGATGAGGAAACAAGTCTCCTCCTCCTCTCTGTCATTTACATCATAATCTTCTCATAGTCATAAAATGTCTGTTTTTTTTTTTTTTTCCTAAACACTTCCCTCTCAGGTTCTCATTTAATCTTCCTAACAACCCCACGATGTAGATTATGGAGGATAATGTTATTGTAATAATAATGAGAAAAAAAGAAACAGGAAAGGTAACTAACTTATCTAAAGTCATATAGAAAGTCAGTTTTAGGGGACCAGCAGTTAGTGTAATGGCTATGTCACTGGACTCCCACATAGTCGACCATGGTTAGAGTCCCGGACCTGGTGGCTTAAACTCACACCGGGCGCATGTGCGTGCGTCCCCAAGATCCTGAGAGGAGAATGGAGGAGAAGGGATTGCGGCGTGGCCATCCCCCCTGGGAGGTGATTTCTCGCTTTCTATCTCTCTGTCTCTCTCTGTCTGTCTGGTGAGTGCACGTGCCCTATAGCAAAAACCTCTCCAAAAAAGAAAAGAAGAAAAAAAAGTCAGTTTTGGTCTTGGATCTAAGATTTTTCTCCTTCTATCTAGCAATTTCATATGACATTCTCCTGTTATATCTTTGGGGTTTCTAACCATAGTGCGACTTTAATAGAAACACTTGTAACCAGCCTCTTGCACACTGCATGTATATGGAAGAGTCATCTGAGATTGAAAAAAAGTGGTGCAGGAAGAGTCTCATTTTATTGTCCTGTCACTTTTCTTACAAAATATCTGTGCCAATGTTCCTAAGGGGCATTTTTATTTTAAGCCATCTGACCTAACCTTTCTGGGTTTCAGATTTGTCATCTGTAAAATGGAAATTCAATGCTCGAAGACTAAGTTCCTTTCAATATTGACTTTTTTTAAAAGTCAACTAATATTAATCTTATCAGGTAGTAAGAACTAGATTTATTTTCGTTTCAGGCACAGATGTACAAATGTGATTTCAAATATAAATCTCTCTGTTGTAGCCATGCTACAAAAAGTCGCACTTTCTTTTCCTAGATTTTAGATGCAAATCACCTGGAAAATTTGAGATTCACAGAATTATCGAATCTTAGAACTCAACTAAAATATCATCTAGACTTGCCTCTTCAATTTATAATGAGAAAAAATAGACAGAGAGATCCAAAGAAATGTCATTGCCTTAAGCTTATAAAGGTAATCAGTAGAAGTGTCTGGGGTACTTTTCCTACAATACGGAAAGTGCCTCTCTGCAAGACTTCTGCCCCCTGGCTATTCAGTCAAATAAGAATCTAGGTAATGCTGTGAAGGGACTGCACATGTTAAGAATGTACTAATCAGCTGACATTAGCATTAAGGACAAGAGGAAGGTAGCAGAGACATTCCATGCATGCAGGGGACTTAGGCTCCTTGGCTGTGGCTGAGATGTAGGGGCCCAGGCACTAGGACTGAACAGAGGCGTGGAGGAACTAAGAGCAGAACCAGCTAATCTCCAGCCAGGAAACACTCAGGCCAACCACCTGAATGAGCTCAGAAGCAGATTCTTTCCCCAAAGCCTCCAGTAAAATATGTACGTCTTCTGACCCAATGTGACCCAGTTGGACTTCTAATCTATGGAATGTGAGCTAAGAAGCAGATATTGTTTTAAGTTACTATGCTTGTGGCAATTTGCATCAACAATAGGAAACTAAAGGGGGGTGGTAAGTCTCAGAGTTTGAAAAGTGTGTCTTCTGTTAAAGCCAATGGAAAACAAAATGTACCTGTAAGAGGAATTCAGACTCAGCCAGACAAGAAGCTGCAATACTTGGAGAAGAGAAAATTAAGAAAATTATCATTTATAGTTGACTTTGGAAGGTTGGCTGTATTTTTGTTTTTAGATGGAAGAGATCTGAACATGTCAGTAGTGAGGGAAAGGTTGAAAAATACTTGGGAAGGAAAAGGCAACACACTCTGAAGAGATGAAGGGGGATGAGAGTCAGAAAACAGGCGGTGAAAAAGGAGGAACTACCCAAAGTAGGAGGTGACAGCTGCTGGGAGGGACAGGAAGTGCAGTGCATGTTTAATGAGAGTGGAGAGCTTTTGGCATTGTTTCTGTAGACAAAGAAAGAGATCACCCGAAGAGGCATGGGATGATGTCTAGAAAGCACTGATGCCTCAGGAGATTGGAGGTAATGAACAATTGGTGGCCCCAGCTTTGAAGCTAGGAGATTTTCTCTGTGACTGATCAGTCACAATAATGTGGGTGTAAAGAACACAGGCTTTTGTTGCATTCGCCTAGTGGTGGGGTTTCTTGGCAATGCAGTGTCACGAGGGGACGGTGCAGAAATGCATGATTAAGGCAACAACCTCATATCTTTTTTTTTTTTTTTGAGAGTTTTTTTGCTATAGGGCACGGTGTGCTTGCCAGAAAGACAGAGAGAGATGGAGAGATAGAAAGCGAGAAATCACCCCGTAGGGTGGATGGCCACACCACAATCCCTTCTCCTCCATTCTCCCCTCGGGATCTTGGGCACGCACACACAAGCGCTTGGCGTGAGTTTAAGCCACCAGGTCTGGGACTCAAACCGTGGTCAGCTACATGGGAGTTCAGCGACATAGCCATTACTCTAACTGCTGGTCCCAAGGCCTTATATTCTAAACTGGGTAAGAAAAGAGACAAAGGTTCCAGAGAACTTAGGAATTAGGGTGGGCGAGAGGCTGAATTTCACTCTTGTTCTTTCTTCTAACTTTATTTCTTCCATGAGTAAGAAGGAGATAGAGAGATAGCACCCATAACAGAGTCTTGAAGTTACAATCCACCCATAGCCTCTGCCAGTCTAGAGACTCGAATTCAGAACCTTCCTGTGTGGGTTAGCCTTACAGAGTGTTGGATTACCACTGAGTCATTACCCAATCTCTCCTCAATCCTAATCAGCTATGGAAATCATATGCCTCTTTCCTGTAGAGGTTTCAAACATCATCAACTTATCTCAGTGCCTGCCTGACTAGTCTTTCTTACTGGAAGAACCAATTCCATTCCCAAGTAGACTGATGATTTTAAAGTACTACCCCTAAAGAGATCAGAATTTTCTCATTGCATGGTCTTGATATATAATTTATAATTTTTTCTCTCTCTCCTATGAGACCCTCCCAATGTAAGATTTCTAATGATAAAATTGATGATAATGATGGTTAATGATAAAAAATAATTTTTAAAGCAATACTATGTGCTAAACACAATGCAAACTATTTCACACTCGCTATGTCACTTAAATCTTATTTAATAAACAAAAACAAATCTCGGAAGTTCACCCTTCTACTGGTAAAGAAATGTGAGGCTCAAGACCGGGAAGGTAGTTATCTAAGTTCTGAGTATGAATGAGTTGCAGAGCCTGAACTCAAACACCAGACCGTCTGACTCCACGGCACGTGCTTTCGCCGTAAGGCTCTCTGTGGGCTCCAGTGATACAGTGCCAATGTGCAGAGCAATACATAGCTGTTACCTGGATAATGCATTAACGAATGATGACAAAGAAAGTATAGGAACTAAAGATTCCTGTCTGCTCCAACACAGATCTAAAAAAGCAGCTTTTTCTCTCTTGCCTTAATTCTTCAGAGGGAATTAGATATTAAACCAAGAAGTGTTGTACCCATGAAAAGTGGACAGTGGTTTCTGAAAAGATAATGTGTTCCTTAAGATTTTATTCAGTGTTGATTTTGCTGATGGAAAGAAGAGAAAAATACAAGAGGAAAAGCCTTGATCATCCTGATCTTCCCATAGAATGAAATCTAATTGTAGGAAATGATGAGGAGGATTACTGGATGTCCTGAGGGAGTATGTAAAGGAGAGGCAGTAACATTTGTGAAGCAACTGATAAAAGGACATATGTTAAAATACAGTGCTTAGCCATCATCTAGCATATATATATTTACCAAAGTAAATTTATATATAAATATATATGAATTTATATATGTGTGCGTATGTGTGTATGTACATATATATGTGTGTGTGTATATATTATATATATATATATATCTTGATTTCTTTCCAATGAAATCATTTTTTCATTTGTTCCTTTATAGTCAAATCATGGTCCCTCATGAGAAGCTTGTTAGAAATGCCACCTCAGACCAACTGAGTCACAATCTGCACTTTAACAGGATTTCCAGGTGGTTCATATGCAAACTTGTGTTTCAGAAATACTCCCCAGTTTGTTCTGCTCATTCATTCATAATGTCAGCTAGTCTCAACATTATGAGAATTGTCATTTATTTATAATTTCACTCGGCTTATTAAAAACACAAGTGAAGAGTAGCTTTATCATTTTTTCCAGCTCTCCAGAGTTACATAACTTGACTTTATTGACAAGTAAGGGGCACTTTACTTTTCTAGGGTATTCTTTCACAGTTCATTTATTTTCATATGATGCCTAGAGAGCAGGATTTGGGACAATTAAATAGAGAAACTGTAAAGTCTCTTAAGTTCTGAAGCTTCCCCTAAAAATAATCTGTCACAGAAAGATCTGTAGAAATCGGATAGGAAGAGTCACTTGGAAATGGTCACATTCATGGGCAAGATTCTTAGCTGGAGCCCTACCTGGTCTGATTTGATTTCCAAGTACTAGTTCTGTATAGATCTGTCAGTCTGAGCAAGGATGTTACTCTAGTATACTGGCTCTTCTATCAGAAAGAAAACTCAGAGACTGTTCAAAAATCATGCACATTAATGTAGTTTTTAGGATTTGAGCACTTGCCAGAGACAGACAGAGAGAGACAAGTAGAAAGCATCCCCATCAGTAGAGAATCACGCCATAATCCCTTTTCCATTTCTCCGCCCTATAGGGATTTGGGGCACCCACATACACATGTGCCCAGTGTGCTTTTCAAGCTACCCTGTCTGGGACTCAAGCCCTGTGGTAGGCCATGTGGGATCTGGCTCTTTTAATTATTAGACCATAGGCAGACACAGTTTATTGAATATTTAAAACTTTTTCTTCTTGGTATGGGGAATCTCCTGACATTTATAAAGCAAGTGTTGGCTGCTAATCCAAATTAAACTTCAAATTCAGCCACATCCAATCTGTTACTTTACAGTCAATTTTGAGTAACTTTGTGTGTCATATGTGTTATTTGGGATTTTAGATCTTTGGATACTTCTCCTCTGAAGATGATCCTCTTACTTCCCAGATGGATGAAGAAAACTTGATTTTCCTTGTGTCTAGAAAACAACGAATTGTAATTTCAGGTGACAATTTAAATTTCCCTTTCAAATTAGGATTTTTTTTAAAAAGAATTATTTAATTGTATTTATTTAAATTTGACTGGGGCGGGGATGGGAGGAGAAGAGAGAGAGAGAAAGCGAGAAAGCAAGCTGGGACTTGAACCGCATTCGGCCATGTGGGAGTCCGGTGCCCTTAAACACCATGCCACCTGCCAGCTCCAGGATGGTTTTTAATATCTGTCTCAACAATAAACCTTTTATTTTATTTACTTGCACACCAGTTCATAATTAGAGAGAAAAATGACAGTTTCATATGCACCAAATTTTCTTAAAGAGATTCAAACTTCCAGTTCCAGTAGCAAATGGAATCATGTTTCTTTTAAAATTTCTTAAAATTAAGTTTTCAAGTTTTGACTAATTGGTAGCCCACCCGCAAGACACACACATACACACACACACACACACACACACACACACACACACTCATCTAACTTCAATTATTTTAGAGAAATTTAGCCCTACATTTCTTAAACTATGCATATGGGCCAATCAGAGAGGGGCATTATATCACTTCAGGAACTCTCCAGTTTATATGTGTTATTGCCATAGGGTGTGTGTGCTCACCATAGAGAGACAGAAAGAGAGTGAGAAAGTGAGAAATTACCCCCTGGGGGTGATGGCTATGCCACGATTCCTTCTCCTCCATTCCCCTCCAGGGATTTGAGGCATGCATGCACACGCACCTGGTGTGATTTTCAAGCCACCGAGTCTGGGACTCGAACTGTGGTTGGCTATGTGTGAATCCAGCACAGTAACCTGCTAGTCCCATATCATTTATTTTTAAATTTAAGGCTGGGATCCAGGAATTCCCAGCTTTCTCCACTATTGACATTTGGGATTTTCTTCTCTTTCCTCCTTCCTGTGTGAGAGATCAGGAAGAGAAAAGGAAAATCCCAACACTCCTATCTTCCAGCATTTCACCCCTTATTCTGAGATAATGTGTGTCTCTTATAAAAGCATCTGGACTTCAGTCCTTTGTGAACCATGTCCATCTTGGTCCTTGCCTCTAGAGTTCAGATTTGGGTCATAAAATTTGTCATCAAAAAGCAGACACAGGGAACCAGCAGTTAGTGTAATGGCTATGTCGCTGGACTCCCACATAGTCGACCGCGGTTCGTGTCCTGGACCCGGTGGCTTAAAACTCACGCCGGGCGCGTGTGCGTGTGTGCCCAAGATCCCAGGAGGAGAATGGAGGAGAAGGGATTGCGGCGTGACCATCCCCCCTGGGGGGTGATTTCTTGCTTTCTGTCTCTATGTCTCTCTCTGTCTGTCTGGCGAGCGCAAGCGCCCTATAGTGAAAAAAAAAAAAAAAACCCTCTCAAAAAAAAAAAAAAAAAAAAAGCACACCAAAAGAGACTT